GAAGATAATACAATATTAATTTGTGTGTGAGTCTGTGCATTATACTCACTTATAGCGGTCAGCATACTGGGTGAGCTGAGAGTGGGCACGGCAAAGCTGTAGAAGATCCACATTTGAGCATACTAAAGGGAATAGGCATGATTTAAATCAAAATATATATATATGAATATATTTACCTGTGCTCCTGTGAGCTCGGCACTGTGGATACAGGAGAGTGTGTCACTAAGATTGTGAGCTTCATCTATGATCACCACCTGTAAAAGAAAGTATGTGTCAGTAATATGCACCCGAGAGGTCAAGACACTTACTTATAAACACACATACAAATAAAAACGTCTGACAATTTGACAACACAAGCGCATCATGTGAAAAAAACACAACCAAATAGAATAAACACTCCAAGTAGCACAGACAACAATGGAAAATGTTTCCAGTGGACAAAAAGGTGATGAACATGCTCGTTTTCCAAGCAAAAAAACAACAAAAAACAGTGCTTAAATAACTCCATGGCAACAACAAGCGTGTCCCAGCAGTGTTCATCACTTTAGTGTCCTCTAGATACACTTTCCATTGTTGTGCTACTTGCAGGGATTCTATATACAACTGTCTTTTCTCTATGTTGTTGTGTTTTTAGTTTTTCTTAATGTTGTGCATGTGTTGTCAAATTGGGAAAAAATATAAATTTCTTAACTTTATTATGTTTTGTGATCTTCATACATACAAAGGCTCTTATTATATTTCTATTTCTATTCTTATATTTGTACTTATATGTATATACCTATACACATTTTCTATTTCTATATATTGTGCTAGATATTGTAATAGAATTATTATTTCTATTCTTTAACATTGCGTGAGCACCTTGAGCAACTGTAACAAACTAATTTCCCTCTTGGAGATTAATAAAGTATTTCTGATTCTAATTCTGATTTGCATGTGTGTTCTTATGTTACAGTGCGTTGATCCCACTGTGAAATGAATGTGGAGAAATAAATGTGAAGTGAAGTATGTAGTAAGTAGGAGTTATCAGGTACCCAAACCACCTCAAATCCTAAAGAAATCATATATTATTGCGTTGTGTGGCAGTGGTCAAACTGCTAAAAGAGACCTTAATGTTTCCTTAATGACAATTGCTGAACATGAGAAAATCTATGATAGAATCAAAAATGATAAAAAAAATAGTCCTACCTGTCCCTTCAGCTGGACTCCTGCTGCCCTTCTTGTAGCTTCATGAAGCAACATCTGATAGGGCAACACCACCAACTATGCAGACACAACAAACACAGAGCATACAGATTAACACTAAAACTTCTATCCACCTAAAGAACTGAACAGATAAATAAAAAATACCTCAGGGAAAACCCTAAAACAGTTAGCAGGAGAGCGTTACCTGTGCTGCGGGGACAGCGAGGCGTGTGGAGTAGTAAGGACATGAATGCGTTTCTCTGCCGAGCTTCAGCAGCTGCTCTATATCATGGACCGTCCCCAGAACGTCATCCCTCATCTGCTGCAGTGCTGAAGCTTTATTATAGGGACACACACTCTTTGCTGGGCCTCGCTTACGCTTTACACCCTCTTCCTGATGCTGCTTCTCTACAAAAGTGAAGAACAGGCAGCGTTGTAAAGATAAACTGGTCTTATTTATTAACAATCTCTTATGAACTCCTAAGAAACTGGAGCCAGTGTGTGAGGGGCTCTCACCATGTTTGTTTTTCTGCATCTCCATGCAGCGGTCATTAATGCGCTGGATGCTGCCCAGGTTACGCACCTCCTCGTTGACACACAGATTCTGGAAAGTACACAGTTTTATGTTTACTGGGCAAATTCTGTCAGATGTCATAGTTAATAGTCATGTTTTACTGATTGAATACAAGTAATAGTTCCTGATGAATGCTGCGCATGCTTCTTTGTGTGGGATGGATAGAACTGTATACGTAATATACTGTTTTAATTACTGTTGTAATTATCCTTAAATTAGAAAATACAGGTAAGAGAAGTATAAATAACTTGAGAAGTTCTGGAATTTGTTTTATTGGAAACAGCCTACTTCTACACACTTTCATAATTCACTTGTTTGCACTTGTTTACTCTTTCAGCGCACTAGCCTTTAGTTAAGTACTTGAGATGCAATGACACATGTCACTCAACTAGAGCTACAACTAACAGCCATTTTCATTATCAATTAATCTGATGATTATTATCTTAATTCATTAATTGATTAAACTTAGTCAGTAAATAATGGAAAAAATCCCTTTAGAGCTTCCATGGTGCAAGTTAACACATAAGAGTGTCTTGTATTGCCCAAAACACACAAATATGTTACACTTGCTATCATAGAGGAGGACCACATTTAAGAAGGTGGAACCAGCTTCTTTTTTTGTTTGCACAAACTAACAAATTATTAAAATAGTAGCCAGTTAATTTACTGTTGATTTCAGCTCTGCACACGATTGTTCTCAATGCTTTATTTCCCCAAACATTTTCAGTCACCAAAATTGAAAACATGTTTGTGATTCTCAGCACTCCTTATTGAGATACTGTTAATGTCAGTTAATGACATTTACAGTATCTCAATGAGGCCAATAATTACTCTGAGGAATGAATGCCTGTCTTACAGAGAAAGAGCCAGAAAGATCTCAGGTATTCTGGCTGACAACACATAACGTATACACTGGAAAGACAGGTGATTATACATTAATGAAAACTTGTATAATATTCAGTTTCTAACAATAGATACTCCTAAATGTTACACACTGGACCTTTACCCAAATGTACTAAAATCCAACCCTTTTACTGGTCTCCTCTGTGTGTACACATACCTGCCGTGAGCCCAGAGTGACCAGACTGATGTCCTTGCTGAAGGGGCTCTTTTGAACCTCATGGACAAATTGAGCCAGCTGGGAGTGAGTGCGACTGCAGTAGTAAATCTGTGAACATCCAAATGTATACAGTCTCACTTCAGGGTAACACATGGCACTCATTATTATGTTTAATACCCCGTAGGACATTCATTCCTTACACACCTTAGCAACATGTTCTTCAACCAGTTCGTCGTCTGTGTCATCCTCCGCAGCACAAAATCTGAGCACGAGAGCAAAGACAACCCCTGCTGTCAGTGTCTGTTCATTTACACCTTTCACGGTAACGTACAGGTTGCTAACAGATTAACGGCTGCCCTCACCTGCTCCTGGTCTTTGACTCGTCATCGCTCTCGTATTCTGCGACAACAAGATCCGTGTCTTCTTCATCTCCTTGCGTCTCGGTTTTTTCCTCTTTACTGAGCTGGAGCAACTTGAAAGCCTCATCATCTTCACAGCTCTACGGACACATAAATTCATATATTGGGTTGTAGAGGCTCAACTTGCTGTGGATTGTAATTTTTTGGGGTTAATTTCTGATGCCGGGGCTCTTTAAAAAGCCACTTTGCAAGATCACTTACTTTTCTTTTCATTGCATACTTCAGTTGAACGTTGTTTCTGATCAACTCTAATCGTTCTTCCCTCTTCTTTCTTTTCAGTTCTTCCTCCTGACACATAAAAACATGCAATAATATTTAAAAATCAACATTCCCAGAGATCCAGGGCAAGGTCACATCTTAAATAAAATTCCATTTTTTACCTTCAACTTTGACACTAAATCACGTTCTGCCTTTTTCTGAACAAAATCAGTGATCCAGTCGGGCTCTGCTGAGGAGCTGGAGGTGGAGGTGGACTGGGCAGCAGCGGTGGAAAGAGATGCCTCTCCTTCCTGCAGCAAAGAAGCCGCCTCCTGACGCCTCTTCTCCTCATAGTCTGTGAGCCAGCTCAGCGCTCCACATATCAGACTCAGAGACTTGCCCTGGGTTACAGGACATGCATGTTGAAAGAGCAAATCAATTAATAGAAAAAAATGAATGCATTTTATTGTAATCACTCTTATATCCATGCACACATACACACCGTTCCAGTTGGACTTTCAAAGATGCCAACTTTGCCCTGGTCAAGTGCACTATACAGGGCTTGCATAAACTGCTCCTGAATGTTGTAGGGCTGGTAGGGAAATGGAAATTGGGCCCTGCCAGTCTCCATAACTACGAACCTCTCTGGAAGATGAGCATAACTTGTGTGTTAACTTGATATAAAAACATTTCAGTTCAAATATGGTCATCATGAAATGAGCCCTTGGCTACAACACACACACACACACACACACACACACACACACACACACACACACACACACACACACACACACACACACACTACTGTGGTTAGACTGGCTTGTTTTAGCTAGGAGCCTTCACGCCTGATAGTAATGTTTTGTCTAACATGAAGCATCAAGGCGCCAAATTCTGCTTTTGTGCAGATCAGTCAATCTTATTACACGCATTTCTCATTCAGTTTACTTACTTTACAACAACGTAAATCACCATTTAACTAAGAGCTTTACATGTGCTTTACATGATCTGTCAAACAACAAACATTTGACTTTAGTGGCTGGTATTACAATTATATCTCTAACGCTGTCTAACATATATCCAAGTGATTATTATAAACTGAAATCTTATATCTAGTAGCCGATCACAATCTGTAGGTAGATCGTTGCTATACGTACCCACAGATATCCTTAAAAAGTTTTTAACTGTGTTTCAATCTCGTGTTTTCGACTGCAAACAACCGCGCCAAACAGCAAGCAGTGGCTACAGAAACTGACCAATAGGACGCGAGATAAGACAAAGAGCGCGTGTTTTAATGTACTGCAACTCTTGCGCGGACGGTGCTTATGTCGTCTCTGGCGCTTTAAACGCGTGACTACGTGGTTATTACAGAATACCTGAACGTAGTACACTATTATTTATTCACGCGACTGCACAATATATCAGTAAAGTATGGCTTTGTGGTGCTCGTTGCACACGCACCGCCTTTCCGGAAGATGCGCATGAATATAGGCAACGCCAAAACGCGGGTTCATCCCCCTCCGGTTCCTCCTTCGAGCCTCTGGAAAATTCTCTGCCCTTCTTTATATCGCTTGTCAGTCGCTTTGGCAGCAAGACAACGTGGACTTCCAGCGACCTGATCGGAAGCTCATATCCTGCTGCCATACAAGTGTGACTGGTGCAAAGCGACTGCACGGTTTTCAACGCAGCTAAGTTAAAGCGTTAAGCTGTTTTAAATATCATTATTTCTTTTAAATTCACAGTTCGCATTCATAAGTAGCGTGAGGTTTTGTAGCGGAGAGCTTTAAAAAAACAACAAAAAAAACAAAACCCAGCGTTAGTTGGCTAGCTAGCGTTGACCTTATTCAAGATCTGCCGCTTTGCTGCACTTGACGTGTTTTCTTTTGTGGAAGTAGTTAGCATTTAGCCGCCACTGCCATTAGCCCAGTGATAGTGTGAATTGTAGTGCAGCTCAGGGTTAGAGAGAGAGAGAGAGAGAGAAAGAGAAAGAGAGAGAGAAAGAGGAAAAAAAGCTAAACATTACTTCATGACAATGACTGCGGAGGAGCAGACGAGTGAAGGACAACACACCATCCCAATGGAGGGGGAGGATATCACACCAAAGAAAGACGGGGGTGTTTTAAAGGTAAATTACAGTAAGAGGGGATTATTATTTCTTGGTTACTCATTCGGCTAAGCTAACGTTAGCTGTTGTTAGCTGAGGCTAATCGCGTGCAGTGTAAATATAAACAACCAATGCAAGCTAACTACATTGTTGACAGCCTCGCCATGCAGTTTATTTTATTTCTGTCGTTGGTTTCGTGGCTTAACTTGTCGCCAGGGTGTCAGCAACATGGGCAATTAGCTGTTCAATCGACCACATTTCTAGAAGGATCTGCAGTCCTGGAGCAGGAGCAGACGCAAAGGCTATTAATGCTGATTGGGGGGGGTATTTGATATTCTCACACACACACACACACACACACACACACACACACGGGTTTGAATGAGACAGCTCACGTTCATTCACAGTTTAGGTTTTGGCAGCTTTACCTCTCATGATGCAACTGCAGGGAGGGTGGCGGGACACAAATGTTTTAAACTTCACTGACAATTCATTTTACATTTTTATAAATCCCTAAAGAACAAATCAATCAATAAAATCAAATGCATTATACATTATATTGTAATCACTCTTATACACTTGCACGCGTACATGTGGGTGGGAGGATACAAGTGTTTGAAACATGTCTGTTACACTTTATAAATCCCTGCTGATTTTTATGCTCCCAGCTGGTGAAAAGGGAAGGCACAGGCACAGAGCTGCCCATGACTGGTGACAAAGTGTTTGTACATTACGTGGGCACGCTTCTGGATGGTACTCACTTCGACTCGAGCAGAGACAGAGGAGAGAAGTTTTCCTTCGAGTTGGGCAAAGGTTGGTCTCATATCTAGCAAACACATGAACATTCACCTGCCATAGCTGCACAGCCAGTGTTGTTAATCGGTCCTCTCTCTCTCTCTCTCTCTCTCTCTCTCTCTCTCTGCAGGCCAAGTAATAAAGGCATGGGACATCGGTGTAGCCACAATGAAAGTGGGGGAGTTGTGCCAGCTCATCTGTAAACCAGAGTATGCTTATGGATCTGCAGGTAGTCCACCCAAGATACCCCCGAATGCTACTCTTGTTTTTGAGGTGAGCTTTAGTGACATCAGGTTATTTTGACTATCCGTTGTATACCATGAGTTCTATATTTGTGTGAAAAGATATTAATTTTAACGTGTCTGTACACTTGTAGGTGGAACTTTTTGAGTTTCGGGGTGAGGACATAACTGAGGATGAGGATGGAGGAATCATCCGTCGGATTATCACTAAAGGGGAGGGATATTCCAAACCTAATGAAGGAGCTGCTGTTGAAGGTAACGCGTTCAGACACAGCTATTTCTTTGCTCACATTAAAATAATTAAGGTGGCACGCAGAGCCTGAGGCCACACATGAATCGGTACTGAAGTGTGTAGGTACATATGTTAAACTCAAATACCTATTAATAATTTAATTATCACACTTGGTTAATATTATTAATTAAGGGAAAGCTTCCTGTTGTGTAGCCTCATTGTTACATCAAAGATTGTAGTAAAGAAGTGTGTATTATTTTGACTATCAAACACTCGCCATCTGTAGGCTTGAAAGGTAGCTGTACAATGTTATTAGTTTCATCCTTCATGGAGAGCAGAGGCTGAAGTCAACTTGGATTAATGTTGTTGTTTATGTTGTGTTACAATACATTTCAAAATTGCAGGTATAACACCTTGTAGCATTGTGCTGCTTCTACTGTTCACCTTACAAGCTTTAGAGACAAACAAGCACATTTTAACAGCTGACATTTACTTTCAGGAGTTATAAAATCCTTTCCTCAATTTAGCAACAATTGCCATAGCGACTTCAAACTGGACTTTATGGTTCATATTTCATCTTCTCCATCTACATCTGCAGTACTTGCAGCAACACACCTACCTACCTACCTACCTACCTACCTACTCACAAATTTGACACGTTGCACATGAGCACTGAGATGGAATTTGTGCATTAAGCATATTTAAATCGGTGTTTAAAACATTTGAGGATATGGAGGGGGACTGGATCAAGGATATTTTTATTATCCCCAAAGAGCAATTTGTTGTACAGCCAGCAGTAACTACATAACCACCAGACAACAATGCACAAACAACAAATACAACACAGAGATCACAAAAGTATTTAAAAGGCAAATGACGGCAAGAACAAATGTTCAAATGAAGTGTATTGGTCCTGCATCTTGCAGCCAGATGGAAGCAACTTGAATTCCTTAGACAGAAGACAGAAGTACCAACAGAGTCTATTGTAACTGTTGTCAGTCAAAGCTGACTATTACTGTTGCTTTACACACGTTCATAGCCACCTTTTTATTTTTATTAAGTGTAAGGTTGATACTTAAATGCATTAATCTATGTCGTAACGCTATCGTGTTAAATTCTCCTGAGGTTTCAAACCAAAGGGTGGGCTCCTTTCTGCAAATGACTCATTTCAACAGTTTACACCACCTTTGACTGTGGTATTATTTTACTGCAATGTGTTTACAGTGCATACACCACTGTTAGTTAACTTTGCTGTAATTAATTTACAGGCATCCTTAACAAAGCAGAATATTTTGATTGACTGTTTGAAAAATGCATCACTTGCGCTCAGCTGTAAATCTACTGCATGTTAAAATGTTTGTGACTAAATTAAGTGTCTGATTTGTAGCACAAGCTAACTCCAATATTTTTCAACTCCTTTCAGTAACTGTGGAGGGTTCCTGCGAGGGACGTGTGTTCGACGAGAGAGAACTGAAGTTTGAGATTGGAGATGGAGAGAATCTTGGCTTTCCAGCTGGAGTAGAGAAAGCTATCATGGCTATGGAGCAGGGGGAGGAGGCACTCTTCACTATGAAGCCTAAGTATGATTACATGTATTAGGGCAAATACTTGCTTGCTGTAGCGATGTGTTTTAATAAGCAGTGTTTCATTCATGTTTTTGTTTTATTATATCATTTGTGTGTTAATCTACATCTCTCAAGCTGAACCGCTGAACTGTTGTTAATTAGCCTGTGCTGGTAAATGGAAATATGCATTGAAGACTCCAATGGGATGGTGTTTAATTTTGCTATAAAGAAATCCTAGTTTTTTAGACTAATGGATAACAAAACTGAAATACTAAGCTGTGATATGACAAAAAAAATAAAAGTCCTTCAGCTACAAAATGATCCAGTCTACTTTAGAAAATAGGACACTACACTGCAATGCTGTTAAAGTTAAACTGGCAACAGGTAATACGACCTTTATACACCACATTTGAGATGACTAATGTTAAGTTTATCTGATTTCTCTTTGATGCGTAGGTATGGCTTTGGGAATGCTGGAAATGCAAATTATAACATACCTGGCGGAGCAACACTGCAATACAAAATCAAACTGGCAGCGTTTGAGAAGGTAAATATATCTTGGCACAACTTGGCTTTAGTGGGCCAATTGCATGTCAGTTTTGTACAGTGACTTTTTCCCCTGTGTGATTTAATGTCTCCTGTTTTCTTTAGGCTAAGGAATCGTGGGAGATGAACACTGGAGAGAAGCTGGAACAGAGCAGTATTATAAAAGAGAAAGGAACACAGTATTTTAAGGTACGCAGGGGGTATTTACGATATATTTACAAAGCATGCAGCTATTTTTAAGTGTTTTCTAATGTACTGATTCCATATGCTTTAGGAGGGGAAATACAAGCAGGCGTCAGTGCAGTACAAAAGGATCGTGTCATGGCTGGAACATGAATCTGGTTTGTCAGAAGAGGACGAGAAGAAAGCGAGAGCATTGCGGCTGGCTGCACATCTGAACTTGGCCATGTGCTTCCTTAAACTACAGGAGCCAAGCCAAGCTCTAGAAAGCTGTGATAAGGTATACTTTATCTTTACACAGATTTGACAACAATTTGTCAACGATTCCTTCTGTCTTGGCAGGTTGGAGATGTGTTGGTGTTCAAATTAGTTTTTTGTTACATTGAGTTTGTACAAAAGTTAGTTATTGGGTAGACTGTAGTATTATAATTGTTGAGTATTTATTTATTTATGTGGTTAAATGTTTCAACGGTTTCATTATTATAGGCTTTGGAGTTGGATGCATCCAGTGAGAAGGCTCTGTTCCGAAGGGGCGAGGCACTCTTTGGCATGAAGGAGTTTGACAGGGCAAGAGATGACTTTCAACAAGTTGTTCAACTGTATCCTGCCAACAAAGCTGCCAAGAGCCAGGTATAATGTCACGTGTCTTAAAATACAATTCTCTATATTCTATATTTATTGTGCTATAATCCAAAATGAAACGGACACATGTTGCTCTCTTAGATTATATCTGGCACGATGAGCTCATCTGGCAAATAATTTGTTCCTGCTGCGTTCATCTGCTAGTTGTGGAAACCCCATACCAGTTTTAATTACTAAGAAAATAGATGGGGACATTTTTGTATACTGCGACATGGCTCCTATCAGATTGGTCTTCAAATAACATCTGATTGAATTGCAGTACAAATCTCAATCTTAAAAACCTTCCATTGTCTTATGGCTGTTGCTGTACATGTGTCATATCTGAAAATGTGGTTTTCTGACTTGTCCCGGCAGGTGGTTCTTTGTCAGAAACGTATCAAGGAGCAGCACGAGAAAGACAAACGCGTCTACGCCAACATGTTCCAGAAATTTGCAGAGAGGGATTCAAAGGTGAGGGATTGTGTTTTCTACAACAGCCACCAGAGGGTGGGATAAGCATGCTTTTAGACTGTCAAAGAGACTGACTGACTGAAAAGTGACAAAATGCTTGATGTTTGTGTTTTCTGTCGCTCCCCACGAACAGAAAGAAGCAGAGAAGGTGAAGAGTGGAAGCAAGGAGAACGGTGAAGATGAGATGGAGATTCAGAACGGAGAAAAGGAGGATGCAAGCGAAGCAAAGGCGTAGATGAAGATGTGACTATTATGGTTCATCTGTTCTTCAGACTTTTGTATTTTCAGCCATTTGTGTTTAAGGTGTGACTGTGTGACCATATGAAGAGTGTGTGTGAGTGTGTGTGAGTGTGTGTGAGTGTGTGTGTGTGTGTGAGTGTGTGTGAGTGTGTGTGAGTGTGTGTGAGTGTGTGTGAGTGAGAGAGAGAACAAGCGTGTAAACAAGAGCACTGATTTTTGGGTGTGTCTTCTCTGGCTTTCTTTGTGTCCGGGCTTTTTGCTGTGGCTGCTAGCGGAGCCGGTGGGGCTTCTCCGGCTGATGGCACTGTGGGACATGGTTTTGATAAATTAATTGTATGCCACAACCCCACCCCTGAACCCTTTCAACCCACAGCTTTGAACTGTGCATGTGTTCTCACAGCGTTCTGGGTAGGAAACAAGTGCATCCAAGTGTTAAGTGCAGCATTTCAAACCCTCACCCGTCAAGGGCTAGACCATTCACCTTGCACTACCCCTCTCTGTCCTACACCCATCCTCACATTTTATGCTATCCATCCAACCAACCCTCTTCTCATGGGCCTACTGATCAATTCCTGGAGTTGTGATGGTTGTGTGCATAGATGTGATGCGTTTGAATGTTAGAGTGCTTGTGTCCCAAAGTACGTATGTAGCAGCACTGTGGATAGCTGGTGTAATAAGACGTAAACCTGGAATAGCTGTCGGAGCTTCTTTCACAATCTAAATACGGAGCTCCCCTATAACCCCCAGGGTACAGGACTGTTCACCTTTTCTTTGGAAATACTGACTTTGTACTTTTTCCCCCAGTGTTGTGCTTGTGATTTTCTGTATTGTTCTCAAAATGATGAATACAACCAATGAATTAACTGGAATATGTGCATCCAGCTAGAAAGGACATTAATCCGCTTCTCCTGGACACACTCGAGTAATAAACAGTCAAGTCTTTAGTCTTAATTTACTGTAAAAAAGTAAAATGTTTTGAACGTGTGCATATATGGCTCATCAGATTCGGGCTGTTACAGACTGTATGCCAGAGGAGGATGCTTGCCCTGTCTGTTCATTTTTAGTCAACAGCACCTGCAGAGTTGGTCAGAAACTGAGCTAGGGGGGGCTAATTTAAAAACGGAGCTGTGGGTTGTGTGTTGAGTTTATCTTTTGCCTGTTGGAAGGGTCACTGCTTGGTCTGCCCTGACATAGCGATATAATAAACAATAGCTACAACTTGATTGTGTCTGATATTCTTGACTGTTACATCTGTCTCTGCTTTTATGTCACTCTATCTGTATATGTGCACTGTGGGAACTTTATGAAAAATAAGGAATGTGCAGACAGTTGGCACTTCACAGGACTCCATGTGGAACTTGTTCATACATGTTGCATAGCACAACGGTTTGAACAATGAAGACATTAACGTTGTCTTTGAGTTTATCAGTTCATATTGTAGTTTATATATTTGTTAAGATATTTATTGCATAATCTCATCCTGAATGTGTAATCTTTCACATATCTTTAAAAAAAAGGAGCACGTGTGACTCATTTTAGACATTTTGGAGAGGTTTAAAGCTTTTTAATGAATTTATAAGCTTATCAACAGTAAATAAATCAGTAACAATCTTGATAATGACCTCCAAGGTGAAGATTATCTTTATACTTTTCTTTGTTTTCTCTGAATTGTAAATACAATATCATGCACTGTTGACCAGACAAAGTCATTGCAATATGTCAGTCAACTGTGAGGAATTGCCAATAGCCATTTTCATTATGTTCTGATATTTTATTGAACAAATTATTAATCGAGAAAACAAAAAGCAGATTGATTGATTAATCATCAGAGGTAGCCTTAAATAGGTGTTACTTTCTATCTGCAGAGGAGAAATGTATAGCATTCTGCTAAATGTCCAAACAGTGTTGGATCCTGTGTGTACCTGCAGTAGTCAAGAGGTCGGAGTCTTCTTTTCCCGAGGACGAACAGGATCTGATCTGATCCTCCAGCTCTCTCACAGGGACACCGGTGTCAGCTTACGGATGTGATCACGACCCAGCGCCGCCTGTTCTCTACAGGTGGACGATAAAACAAAGTGAAGGAGTTATTCATAATTTATTTACAGTTTGATTTACTCCAGGCTAGATGTTTGCTTGGGTTTTAGTTGGTTCTTTGTTTTGATTTGTGACATAAGCCCTATTTATATAGGAAGGAAGGGAGGTACAGGAGCTGTACTCTCCAGGGAGGATCTGTATTTCCATTTATTTTTTCCAGCGCAGGAGCCAATCCCTTTGTTTGCTTGCTTGACAGTAGACAAATAAACTTCAAGAGAGTGGATTCACAATGGACACACAGTCCTTTTTAGGTGGCTCAACAATGACAACATAAAGGTTCAGGTTTAGATTCACTCCCAACAAATATTATAATAAGTGTTAAATCCCTTTAGAGTTTATTTTGTGGTTTAATTGTTGCACAACCTATATTATGTTAGTACTAGTATGTTATTTAAGGCTAAATAACCTAAGCTAATCATTCTCACTTGTATTATGGAAATTTCCCAAACAGTAAGACTTAAATAATATATACATACAAATATAATATACATACAAATGTACTTCAATAATACTTGATAGAATTAGCGAGTAAAGCCGCAGCCCAAGTGGACAAAAAGTACTGACCACCGTTTAAATGGTTCTCCATCTAATAATTGTATTATAAATATAATGTAAGGCTGCATACATGTGTAGTCATATAAAGCATTTAAAGTGTTCAATAACATCAGAAAAGGAAATAAATGAGTAAAAGAAGCATGTGTAGGGTGGCTGGTGCCTGTTAATACAGGTACATTCCCAGGTAAAGGGGTGATGGGTGCTGCCCATGTTCACTCCTCCCTCCAATCTCTTGACTTCAAGCTGCCTAAAAACAACGTGTTTCCGGTGGCAGATTTCAAAATAAATCACCCGCTGACAAACGTCTCGCCACGTGTACTACAATATACCAAACAATTACATTTAAATGTAACTAAATTAGACAGTTCATCTGTAATGTGCAGTAAATAAAACTCAATCACAGCTATGCGAGCGCTGTTTGTCCTTCGTCACTGTGGCACACGCTTTTACTTTGAAAGGCAAACTCTGGCACTGTTGCACCTTTCTGTCTGCAAGTCTACGAAAAGTTGTGTGAGGAGTAAAGAGCTGGTGTGAGATTTCATCGTTCACTCCGTTGTTTGAGCTACTTCGTGTGCGCTTAGTGCTGGACCAGCCGGAGCAGAGGTCAGGACGGTGAGCTCTCTGTGTGGGATACGGGAGCAACGAGGAAGCCCCCCTCTTTGATAGAGGTGCTCAGTGTTATACAGTACCAGCCGGCTTTCCCTCGGGGGGTGAGGGGGCATGGTGGGATTTTTTTAGCGGGATGAGAGCCACCAGGGGCCGCGCACACTGGGGATATCCAGGGCGCCTGTAGTGCGCACCCACTGGGAGCAGCGGTGGGGTGGCAGGCTGGTGGTCGGTCCCTTCCTGATGACAAAGCGGGTGGCACATCCGATGAATAACTCGGGAGGAGGTTTCGCCCGGGAGACAAGATGATCGCGGCGTTTTTCCCCTTGAAGAAACTGCGGCGCAACGGCAAATATGTCCTGTTCGGGGCGATCCTGCTGGTCGGAGCTGTGGCCGTCTACAATGAGATGGTCGCTGCAAAAGCATGGAGCAGTGATACCAGTAAGTTTGTGTTCACGACAGCTCCGTACTCAACAAGTGTTGGTGCTTTTTAAAACTTTATCAGTGCATCATTTTAAGACGGCACTGATGCAGCAGGCAGATAAGGGAAAGGCATGCACACAAAAAAAAAAAAAAAAAAGGAAGCATTGCAATAAACTTGCATAAAGATTAGGGCTGCAGTACAATTGAAGGCATCAGGTAGTTGAGCTAAAAATGCACAACATCCCAAGTGTCAAAAGACTGACCACAAAGCAGAAGCTGTGTGTTGAAACAAAATACACATTGTCCATGTTAAACCTCTAACTAACCTAACCAACTATTTAAAATGACACAAAATTAAACCTATTGCAGGAATGTTTTATTGGATTATAATTTACAAAGGTTAATTCTATTTTTCTGGCCATTTATTGAATGTGAAATTACATAAACAATCTGATCACCTTCAATGCAATATGAACCACAGATCTCCTATGTGAGCGTGAACTAGTATATATCCTACATCCACTTTAGCTTTTACCTTTTATATGAATAATGCTGAAGGCACAGGAAATATGAGCCAGCAGCAGGTGAAACAACAGGTCAACTTAAAGAAATGGAGCAGTGTGTGTGTGTGTGAGAGAGAGAGAGGGGGGATGGGGAGGACCGACCACACTCAGGTTTACATTCAAACGAAGTCTCGTCTCACGCTGGGTTACCAAACTTCCTGCCCTTTATTGCGTTTACACCTCAGCTTACCATCTGCTGCATTGTACTCGCACCCAAAGTATAACATCAGGGTGTCACCACACTGGCATGGTTAGAGATGAGAACAGGGAAAATAGTCAGGTTGGTGTCTACCCACAAGGGAGAAATAACAAAACATGACACAGGCATTTTGAACAAAGCTTGACGTGTAAACACATGCCTGAGACCTACATTAAAGGGCTTGCCTATCTACACATTCCTGGGTTGTAGCCCCCTCGTCACGGTGGGTCTTCTCTTGAGGGAAGGACTACATGTAGCCGTCAAACAGAAGTGAAAGAACAATATGAGGATCTAAAAATGTGCTATGGAAGAGCGACAGGTGGGCACATGGGAATATGCCATCATAGTTTCCGGTGCTTGGGGTGACAAAGGGAATCAGAAGGTGTCAGAAGTGTTCATTTAAGTGTTAATGCTAGTTTGGTGCCACAATTATTTTCATCATAACATGCGGTCTAAGACTATTTTGACTAATTGGAATTCCAGTTTTTCCACATTGGATAGTTCCAAGTATCAGCCATACAACTGAAGCGATTCCATGTAACAGTAATTATTTCTCTCATTAAATCATATTCAATCACAAGAGGAGACGACAACAAAACAGCAGACAGTTTTAAAGTATTGAGACAGTTGAAATGTAGATTGTGATTAAGAAGCGCTGCAGTTTGATACAAGGAAGTTGCGCCCAATATTTTGCTCGCAGGGCAGGCTGTTCCAGACAGTGATACACATTTTGGGTTATTTCCGTGGCTCAACAACAGCTCAAATAACTCACACCTAGATGTACAAAGACTTTCCTGTTGGAAGATATTTAAGGTTTATTTTTATAGGGAAGTTGTCGCTATGAAAAATCCATTTCCCTCATTGTATGGACCCAAACCGCAGTCTTTATTACCTCGGCTTGTTTGCAATTCCCATCCACATAACTCTGTTAAAGCTTGCAGGGATGAAATCATACGCAACTAAAATGTGCTTAAATTTAGTACAGTAGTCACATATAAACAAGAAACAGATGGTTGGGCTACATAGGGTGATTCAGTCTGCAGACCTTTCTCAAGTCATCGCAAAGTATAATGACATCTTTACACACAGGCTTTGATTAAATATTGGCTCTTCATTGAGCTCCTAGTATTTACACTTGGTCAACAAATGCTTAAATCATAAAGTCAAAGATCCGGTTCCTCTAAACCAGGATTTGGGCAATCTGCGGCTCGAAGAAGTAAAATTTTCTTTTATTAATCCTCGTAGGGAAATTCATTCTAACTAACCACTGATCCACTGTGCCGTCCTTTCTCAAGTGGCTCCCTGCAGCTTTGACAAAAAATTATGCTGGCTGTGATCTGCAGCGAGAAATTTATCATTATAAGGTGGAAATATGTTTTGCGGCTCTTGACGGGTTATTTGTTTCTTCATTTTTGGCAAAAAATGGCTCTTTGTGATAGTAAAGGTTGATGACCCCTGCTCTAAACTAACTCAGTCAGGTTCCACGTGGAAAGAAAACACCCAGCATAAAGCGTTACTGCTCATGAGGGCATCATCTTTTACACCTTCACTACTGATCTGTTTACAAAGTAAACACTGTGTAGCTCATTGTTCTACTGTACATTGTGTAAATACACCAACATCCTACCGTACAGTCTGCGTGATTCATTTAATAAAAATAATTATAATCCTCTTTGGCTCAGTGCGTCCAAACCAAAACTAGAAGCATTGTCACTGCAAATGTTGTGGTTTCCTTTTGTGCACAGCAACGTAGTAACATGTTCATTACCTGTAAACAGTAGAG